TCATTGTCGTGAACTTTTTAGACGTGGGCAAAGCTGCATTTCAGAATTATTATGAAGTTCACAGCTTCTGGAAGTGCAAAAAAAGGTAATGGAAATAAACTGCGGCTCACCGAAGAACAGAAATCTAGTGCTCTTTTTTTTTCGCTTTCAGGAGCTATGAATAAGTACCAGCAAGCCCGATCTTAGCGCTTGTTAGGTCACAAATAGCAGCATCTTTGCTGAAACGCGTATACACTTTTTTAGTTGCACTCGACCGTGGCAGATATGCAAATACACAGGTAAAACGCCACATGGCGTTTAGGGGTCTTTGAAAATTGCGCCAAATCGCTGCTCATCGTCCGAAACACCAGCTGTGCTCACTCACCCTCGCCCGCTCTCTTTGGAGGTGGTTGTTAGGATCCGGCATTGCTTTCCAGGCGAAGACGCTGTCACTGAGCCCGTGTTCGATTCGGGTTGATTGGCATTCCGGCTTGTCGCCTTTTCAGTTTTTGTCGCCCGACGTTAATCGTGGACGTCGGGGGACATTGCTGACGCTGACGCCGTTGCTGTGAGCGCTGTCGGCATTGATGCGCTGCGTGCGCGGTCGCCGCCACTCGTGTCTGTTGTGTTCTGCTCTTCTGCCAGCTGCTTTAAAACAGCATCGAGAAAGCGGCGTGAAAAGCGAACCCTTTCGCAATGGCGGCGTTATGTTTTCGAATGCGCGGCCATACCGAGCATAAAACTAATAATAACCAGTGAAATGCAGTAGTTCGCAACAACTGTGCCGCATAGCAGATTGCGCATTCAGTTCTGATTGGCACTTGCACTCAAATCGGGAACAAAGTGGATATGCGAAAGGCGTTTGCTAACCATATCTTTATGAGCAGGTGAAAAAAAAATACTGAGGGAGATAACAGCGGTGGCAGGTATGCATCTGTCGTCGTGACGGTGCTTTAGAATTTTAGAAACGAGTTGAGGGAAGCAGGTTACGCACCGACTTTGTTTAAATATCACGATAACCGAGTGGACATATTGTTCTCTCATGCTTATTCAACCTGCTCGACCAAGTGACGCCGGTCGCACGCAGTATGTCTACTGTATACTGATATCGCTTGGTTTCAGGTATCAAAGCGTGTGTGTCAACACACTAATAAATTCAGCATTGTATTTTCCTTTTACAGCATATCCGTAATCATAGCAGCAATCATCCGTGTTTACCAGCAATGACGCCGCATTGATCGCTGAGGAATCTTCGAAGAGGTGCTGTTGTAGTCTGCATTTCAAAAGTATATTTTATTTGTTTATGAGTAGCATCAGCCCATATGTTAAAAGAATTCGACGTGTGACGGATATGGCTGCGTTGTCATGCAGTAATCACTGAAAAACTCGCACGTTAACTTGATGCAATTATCGTTGAAATAGCGCTAAAGTTATCATAATTAACGAGAAGCTATGTAGCATGTCTAAGTTGGGTCCACCATTTTGTAATTGCAGTCACCTCACAGCAAATTTTTTATCACTCTGTAACTTTTAGAGCAGTGAAGAACATCGATTCACTTGCAAGAAACATACGGCCCAGTATCCTGCTGTGCATTGCACCAGTGCTGACTGGTGCATGCTGCTAATGATTTTTGTCACTCCACAGCACGCTGAACCAAACATATTATGCCTACGTGTGAGATCGTTGGAGGCGCATCGGCGAAGCGGGTGACCGCGGCGGCTGGTGGTGGATGCCAGACAAACAGACAGACATACAAAAAAAACAGACAGCAAACAGACAGACAGACACGCAGATAGACGGAAGCACGGATGACAGACAAACGGACGCACGGATATGTGGACGGATGGATGCTTCGCTCCACTCATCATCATTCACTCCATGAATATCCTGTGAGATTTTATTGGCGGGCTTAGTTTAGCAAAAGCCTACTTCCCTTTTCTGCAGAATTACTTTTAACTTCTTAGCAGTTTTCGTACCGCCGTCATAGCTTTTTTAGCCCCTCTGCATAAAAGATTGCCACCTGGGAATTGAACCTACAGCATGTTGCCGACCGTGATCTTGAATTTCTCACAGCCTTCAAAACATTCTTCCCAGAGCCACTGTTTCAAGTGAAAGAAGGGGAAATAATCAAATGGTGCTCTGTCAGTCCCGTAGGGTGGGAAATCATTGTTGCCGAACAAAGTTTTGGGTATACCCATTGTTCTGAATTTGGTGCAAGGATGCACGTCGTTATGAAGAAGGACGATTCCGGATGAGAATTTCCTAGTCATCAATGTTTATCGTACTTTCTGTTCAGATGAGCATTTCATAGTACAGATCAGCCGTGACTGTGGCAAACATTTCATAAAATCAAACACAAGAAATGCCCTTTTTGAGTTGAAAAACGGCAGCCCTCATTTTCTAACAAGGGTAAGGCAATTGCTTTAGATTAGTCCAGTTTTGTGAAGAAATATGATGGCATCACTGTTCTGATTGCCTTGTTTCTGCAATTGTGTGCACTGTCAAGTGCCGTCACTTGTACAACAATGTGTGCAAACAACTTATGTCTGTCTTATCGGTAGTACTTCAAAAAGGTCCTCAACATGACATCCTTCGTTGTTTGAGTTGGTCTTACCGATCATCGCATTTTTGAAACCCAACTCTACCAATCTCTGGGATAAACTTGCATATCAGTTACTAATGTGCCAATTGTAGTAATACCAACAAGCGAAACATTGTCTTACAGGCAAATAACTATTTGTTGTTAATCTAAATGCAATATCCAGTCCACTTGAATAGTTAAATTCGTATAGATGCTTTGCGTGGCGCGCTACTCTTTGTCTTACACAATTGAGGAGCCATTCCAGAAGTCTCAACACAATGTTCTACAACTTGTTTCACTCGTCCCAGTTGGCACATACTCTAGGCACAGCTCCCCATAAATTGTAGAAGCAAGAAAATATTTTTCATATAAAACTTTCACTACGTTGCGTGCCCCAACACAGGCTGGTGGAACAACAATCACCAACGTTTTCTTCTGCGATCCCCGACAATCAGATGACAATGGAGCTGAAGCAAACACTTTACTACTTTCGCGAAGAAGTAACAGATTGTGCTGTGCATATATCTGTTTAGTCTGAGGTGCAAATATCCAAAGATTATAAAATGACCAGTTCTTTATAAATATTCATCGTGAAAAATTTCGTTATACAGATCTGACTGCCATGATTACACAATCTCGTTTTTTTTGAACATTGCTACCGCGACTTCCAGCACTTCTCAGCTGTCTTGTGTGACGTTACTAATGTTCCATATGGTCCCTATCGTAGGCGTCTATGTAATGCGCAGTGTATTGCGAGTGCTGACCACTAGCGCATAATGTATTTTTTACAAGTGAGTGCTTTTGGGAACACCCACAGGCATCCTCCATCTAGTGCGTCAGCTGATAAACAGCGGGCGAGCAAGAGCAAGAGTTGCTCATTCTCTGAATTTGTCATCTGTGGCAGCTTTCACACGAATGTTCCCTTGCCGAAATGTTTCACTCAGGCTAAGACTTTCATTTTTTGCCAACTGTTACTCAATTGAAGTGTCTGTCCCTGCAACCTTTTTTTTACTTCTTTTCAAACATAACTTTCTTTTTCAACGTGACCTTGTAAAGTATGTTTTTCCAGGCTTAGCACAATTGAAAGTTCGTCTTGTTGGACGGAATCGTTCATAAAAAGATCGGACGTGCAGGCACGAACACATAGATGTAAAACACAATGTCAAGAACAATGTTATATGCAAGGATACCTCGCACAACAGCGTGGGGTCATTTTTTATACAACGTGATGTGCACCCATGACCAATTTATTGTCAAAAACATTGCGGCTCAGGCTAATCTTACTGACACTACACGTTTAGAAGGCATCTGTAGTGAGAATGAAAACGGGCAGCATGGTACGAAGTACTGTATAAGAGCCACCCGGCGTGACAAGAGACAAAGTTGCACAATTTCAGTGGGTATATTTTAATAAATTGAAGGATATTACTGTTTTGGTATGTTTTACTCAACTCCGTGGCTGGCAGTGTTCCTTGTTCACATTTATACTGCTACATTCACGATTGTCAATAAACTATGGAAGCTTACTTGCTTGGCCTGTTTTTTACCAATTGAGGCCTCTCGGTCAAATGACGACATAGCGGAAATATTTATAATAACGTTAGGTGGTCGTGCACATGAATACCACCTCGCAACAGCAGCGAATAAACGCCTATAAGCCTGCGGGCGCGCACAGGAACCATCCGCTGTGCCACAGCCGCCACCAATGTGGCCGCTATGGTGACCCAACGCAATGATGATGATAGCTTTAGCAGCAGCATCTCGAGGTCGGAAAGTTAGCTCACAACGCCATCACTACTGTTATATCCGTTGCACTCTCAAAGGTGCAGTTTACCTTCTTTAAACGTAGGTATATAGGTGTTCTGTGATGGCGCTCGCAGCACCGTCCCTTCTGCACTTTTTCCGCCACTCTTCTACGTTTGGCGCTCGCTTGCGTCCGTCAGTAGTCACTTAGTGGGATCCCACAGTACTACATGCATTTGCACTGGCTTGCTTCCCCCCAGAGCGTGTGGAAATAAATGCTCTACAACCAGGATTTGGCAGACTGTGTCCGTTCACACATCCCATAACATTACATAAAGTGTTCTGAATGCTTGCCGGAGCACTGCACACCACTCGCAAGACGAAAAAAATTGTTGCGAGCAACTTAAACGAAGACGGAGAAGAAATGGAAGAGAAGAAACAAATGCTCGTCTGTGTATTCTGCGTCGTGGCCTAGCTTCCACAGGAAAAAAAAATCAAAGTGTATCCGCGAGGTGAATGATGACGAAGGTGCTCCCTACAGCACGGCGATGGCGTTGGCATGGGGCTACTCTTTGCGCATGGTTGAGATTGTGGTGAGATCTTGTCAAACCAAAAGCGGTCACACACTTTGCAGCTGCGGCGGAAACTGTGGTCTAGGAAACAGCGCTTAAAGCGTGCAGTAGTGGCGCCACCAACTTCTGGTGGCGACCGCTGCAGTTGCTTGGCCGCTGCATCCCGCACACGTGGTGATTCGATGTTCACATTCCGAGGCTTCCGCACTGCTTCTGCTGCGTGGGCCCCCAGCTCGGGATCTTCCTGTCTTTGCACCCGCATTGCTACGACCTCGAGGACCCATGCCGCTTCCGGGTCCGCTTGCCGATGAGCCCTTTTGGCTTCGGCATCGCGAGCCCTCCCGCTGCCGCCGCCTCGGTGCTGGGAACCGAGGTGGCGGCAGCCGGTGAGTGCTCCTGTTGCCTAAAGCTCTTTTACTTGAGAGACTTTACTGCCACCAAGAAAGCGTTCCCTTCTAGTGAGCGCTCTTGAAATCAAAGCAACTGCTGCGCCTCTAACGGAAGCAATGACAACCAGCGTACACGGTGGGAGGGACAAGAGGCAACACCTCACAAAAAAACAGCAAGCTCCTAAATGTTTTTGCTTGCTACCTAGCCCCCCCCCCCCCTCCCTTAAAGGGCCCGTAAACCATGTTCAATATTTTTTCAAGCATTACAAGTAAATGCGCGCATCGTGTGCAGAATAACGTCGCGATCAATTATTCCGCACGTGGCAGCGCTACGAGCCACCGGTGCTCCACAAATTCCAAGAAACAATCCTTCATCCTTTCCGGGCCTTTTGGGCCTCTGCGTGACATCTATGGCGCACTCAGTCAAATACACCAAATACGCTGTCGAGCAACAGACTACGACATCCGGCCAGTCAAGCAGCTGTCCGCGCTGCTTGTTGTTCGTCGTGTTGCTGCGTGCGTGTGATACGTGTGGGGCATTGCGTGTCCCCGTGCGAGTTAATCGCGTTGGCAATTCTTTGAAGGCATGTGCGCAACGCGGCTAGATTACATACCGGCTCGATTACGGCAGCCACGGTTCGCCAACAAGCACGCAACGAACGAAGTCGACGGTTAAAATAGCTGCAACCGGAAGTAGACAGTGTTTCAAGCAGCGCGTCAGCGATGGCGTATGCCACCCCAGATTGGGAGGGGCGCTCGGCGAGACGGAAAGGCGGCGTGGCAGAGGATGCCAGCGGAGGGAAGTGCAGGAAAGAGCGAAAGGTGCGGTCGTCACAGTTTCGATAATCAAACGCGTCTAAATACGCTATTACTGAACCGTTTCAAAAAGTACTCACGGCTTCGCGCTCGTCGTACACGCCTGCACAATTTCCCCACAACAACTGAATTTCGACCTCTGGGTGGTTTACGGGCCCTTTAAAGGAAATATTAATTGATATGTGTGTTTTAGCTCCCGAAAACCACCATATGATTATGAGAACCGCCCTAGTGAACGGGCTCTGGAAATTTCGACCACCAGGGGTTCTTTAACATGCACTGAAATCTGAGCACACGGGCCTACAACATTTTCGCCTCCATCGGAAATGCAGCCGCCGCAGCCGGGATTTGATCCCGCGACCTGTGGGTCAGCAGCCGAGTACCTTAGCCACTAGACCACCGCGGCGGGGCCCTTGAAAGAAAACAACCAACCAGTTTGAAAAATATTTGGAGTTTATGTATTTTCTCTCTGGTGGATAGAGCATGGAAGTTTTTCTAAACCGTGAGTCAGGTTGTCCAGCAGCAACGTTCATTAAGCATATTCTAAACACCACAAAAAGCGGCGATCACAGAAAGTTCACTTAGTCAGCATTATTACGTCCATTATTTTCAGTTAAGAACACCTTGATTTCATTTTTCTTTAAATGCTGAGCTATTATTAAAATTATTTGCTGAGTATTCAAATACTTGTAAAATCACAAAGCATTCACGATTGCATTTAATAAGAACAATTTCACGCATCATGATAAAAAATGGTCGCCTCGCAACGTTACTTTCATTTTCCTGTGGTTCAAGTTTGTAGCAAAAACATTGCCAGTACAGCTGCGGAGGAAGTGATCTCCCCGCGGGAAACACGTTGTAAAATGTTCTAAACCAAGTGTAATAATGTGTTCTAGTTCTAGCTAGCATAAAAAAAGTCTGTGCTAATTGCACTATCCCGCACAGGTCATCTGAATAAAGAAAATTCGTTCGATGATAGGGGTAAGACGTAATGCCTCCTGGTGTCCACAAAAGCAAGAGAAAGGAAATCAATTGATTGATATGTGGGGTTTAACGTCCCAAAACCACTATATGATTATGATAGACGCCGTAGAGGAGGGCTCCGGAAATTTAGACCACCTGGGGTTCTTTAACGTGCACCCAAATCTGAGCACACGGGCCTACAACATTTCCGCCTCCATCGGAAATGCAGCCGCCGCAGCCGGGATTCGAACCCGCGCCCTGCGGGTCAGCAGCCGCGTACCTTAGCCACTAGACCACCGCGGCGGGGCGAGAAAGGAAATCAAAGAATTAATATTTTGGAAACATGAAGTTATCAGAGTAGCATACAGTGAGCACACAAGCAAGCATTTCATTGTGTACAGGCGGCCACGCCACAATATTACCACAACCAACTAACCTTCAAGTTTGTCTTCGATGCTATTTCCGCGTATCTTTGCTCTCCGTGCTACAACACACCAGCCGCAGTGGTTGCCCAGCGGTTATCATGCTCGACTGCTCAACTTTAGGAAGTAGTTTAGGCCTCTTGGTCACATTTCCATGAAGGCGAACTAATAGAGGCACCCTTACTGCGATATTTCTCGTCAAATTATCCGACCTCCTCCACTACAATGTGTATAATAGCCTGATTCGCTTTGATACATTTCATTGAGCGGCACAAACCTACCGCAACACACAAAGTTTGCTGTAATCCTCACACAAGTATACAAGGGTAACTTTCATGCTTACGTCGTGCACCATTAAGAATAACAACAATAACCGGACGAAACAGAACGAAAAGTTCTTTAGGCTTTATAACTCACCTGTATGCGTCTAACCGACAGTACAGCAGCGCTCTTTATCATCCGGGACGCCACTTTGTCGCGAGTGAATTCATTACCTATCGGAGCACTTTGGACGAACCACGCAGTAGCCGGGCGACGACCATCGCTACTGGTATAACTTTTTCAAGCAACGCACACCTGTGGTAGGTAATCGGGGCGCCGTGTCAGTGATATTGCGAAATGCTCATGCTGAACCATCCAACGCGCATAGACTGAAGCCGGGAGCGAGACACAGGTGCGCGGCATCACAAAATGATAACATGAAACACAAGTCGCCGTAGCATGTAAACTGGAGGCTGTGGCACAGCTGTAGCGAGAAATCCGAAGCTCGCGCTTGAAGCAGCTCCGATAGTTTCTCCGCTGTGTGGCTGTCTATGTCACCCTCTATACGTATATATGTGTTTGTGAGTGTGTCTTTGCTCTTTATTTGAGCTGCCAAACGTGTCGGTTTCCAGATTAGGCACGAAGAGGGACGTTCTTTACCGCCAGATTTCAGGTGCTGCGTACATATGAGATCGCGAAGATCAGAGCACTGCCGTCGCCTGCTCAGCTAAGACAGGCGGAATACGGTACAGGCATCGACCGCGAGTACCACGCATTGGAAATATCGAGTGGCAGCCCCTACGCAAACGCTATTAAGCCGAAGCCTGGTTGTACGTTCAGGAAATGTCCAACCCTCTTTCCCGCTTTTACAAAAAGAGGTCGTCATTCTACATGGTTCCACTTTTTACCAGACAGACCTATAAAGTTATTGTGCTTTCTCCATGGCCCTGTATGAGAAAGGGATGGATGATTAATCTTAAAGATATCATAGTAGGAAACAAGAAGAAGGAATCAACGTGGGCTGGACACGTATCACGTAAGTAGGACAACCACTTGCCATTAGGGGAACTGAGTGGATTCCCATAGAAGGCTAACGAACGAGGGGGAGACAGAAATATACGTGGTAGATGAGATTTAAAAGTTCGCAGGTATAACGTGGCACCAGAAAGCACAAGACCGGGGTTTGATTAGCGGATCATGGAAGAAGCCTTTGCCCAGCAGTGGGCGTAGCCGGTCTGCTGCTTCTGATGATGAAGAATAATCTTCTAATCAATTCGCTATTATTGTTCCCCACCGTAGCCATCAATCTACGAAGATTTGCAGACTATATCTGAAGAAATGGTGGAACAAAGGTGGAAAAATTCTGAGCCTTCCCCTTCTACGACGATAAAAGTATGCGAAGCTGTGTTAACAGTGCTTAACGTATATTCTATAGTAAAATTCAAAGTTATCGTTACTGAAAGTTTATAAAGGAATAAAAGAAAAATCACTGAAACGTTCGCCCTTTCTCCCTCGTATGACGCAGATTACATTATCACCAGGGGCCAACGACGCTCTAAACTAAAATCCTGTAGCACAACAGAAAACCCGCTGACAGTAATAAAATGACACCAACCACGGGAAAATATACATATATGGTCTTTTTGCCCCCCAACGGGGGCCTAGATTAAAATGAAGGCGTGAACGAGTGAGGTCGTTTGAGTCCGGATGAATTTTAAGTGGTGCCTTGAAGGCAGTTTTTAAGAGCAAAAACTGTTGCTTCCCGACCAGGCGTGCTCTCGTCTAAACTTCGACTTCAAGAAACCCCGGCTCCATGCCTCTGGCGTCTCAGTGATGGGGGCGTGGGGAAGTTGCACCCCTGTTCCCCCGTAATTTTTCAACTTTGGTCATGTTTACGTAGATACACGCTTACAAATACCCGAACAAATGTACACAAAGTAAAGCTCCAAACCCACGTCCTCACCTCCCTCGGAAAAAAAAAGAGTACTTGCCCACATGGCGACACGCTACGATCTTCAAGTGTGCATGGGTTTTACGTTGGGGTATTGTACGACCATGCCGTATTCACGCAGAAGGAAAGCAGGACAATACTGTTGATGACTGGCTGAAACATCATGCTTTGCAGCTTCAGTGAAAACTAGTGCCAAATCGCCATCTTTTGTTTTAACATGAAACTCGGTGGCTACTGCCGTGGCCTTCGAGATTGCGCATCGGCTGGTTTCTCTTCGGATGTTTCATTCACTGCGCTCGCCAGCACACACACAAAAAAAATGTACGGCACCTCACGCACCCGGTTACCACGAGGGGGCACGTTGAACGTGGATTCAGGGGCACCGGAGACACTAGCGTGCACATTGGTTGGTATTTTTTGTATGCAAGAGGTAATCAGTAATCCTAATGTCTGAATAAAT